CACTTGGCTCAAAGCCATATATCAAACATACAATATCTCACAATGCCTATACTTTATTACTGCCATAATACCATAGTGAGATTAAACTCAATCCTTCATAAGCTCGTGCAACACAACCTATCTAGTTCTTCAAATCTTCTACAAATCTCGCATCCAAATTCAAATTGTAACACATATATTTCACTAGTAAAAGAGGTTTTCCAACAAACAACATAAGGATCACACAAACTTCAGAACACTCCGCAGGAGATAATCCACTTGTTTCGCCTCAAACTAACATCTTTTTATACATTTCCATTGTCGTAAACATCATGCAATTACTTAATCTTCCTGAGTCTGAACTCATATCCCAACGTGAAATCTGCTTCACTCCCAAACTAGACAATATGAAAGATCTTTTAACACACCTACAACTTGGAGCTATACATCAAATTACAGTGGAAATCAAGCACCCGATAGTTCTTTTTACCCTCAAGCAGACCCTTCTCGCCACATTCAAATCATATGAACATATCTCGCAGTCATATCATACTCATCATGTAGCTATCCAATCATCACTTCCACTAATAGGGACACTATCGGACATATAAATCTAATAACACGTGCTTACACAATCAACACCTCAGCGCTCAAGCTACAAGTAAAGCTCCGCCTCAAGTCCTCTAGACTAGCCCAACATCAACACACAAAAATCACACCTCGCCCCTCAATCAAGGAATCACAAGTCGTCGATGCACAACTGATACCGAGCACTCATGCGCGCATACGAATGCGTGGAAGGAATTCAAAGAGTTACATTTCAAGCTGAATCAAGGTCGCACGATAAGAATTCAAGAATGTGGGATTTCCTAAAAGTTATGTAGCCTCTAAAAGATAAGTACAGACATCTCTAAACCGATCCGCGAGACTCTACTAAACCTGCTCATGACTCGTAAGACCTATGTGACCTAGGCTCTGATACCAACTTGTCACGACCCCAAAACCAACTCGGTCGTGATGGAACCTATCATGGAACTAGGCCAGTCGATACAAACACAAAACCAATCAATATTGTTATTCTTAGGATAAAATCAAAGCTATTTAACAATAAACCTTTAAAAAGTGTTTAACACAAAACAACAGTGCGGAAAGAAAGCCCGACATCGGGGTGTCATTAGTCATGAGAATCTACTACCACTGTCTGACAACATCAAGACCAACATGACCGGGAAAATCACTGAATACAACTAAGGAAGAATAAGGAGGGATGAAAGTAGGGCTACGATCGCCAGGCAGCTACCTTGCTAACTCCGCTGAACTTGCCACTAAGTAATCAACACCTGCCACCGGGTTCAGAAATACTTGAATCTGCACACAAGGTGCAGGGAGTAATGTGAGTACGCTAACTCAGTAAGTAATAAAGGTAAAAAAGGACTGAGTGCAGTGACGAGCAGTTAAAAATTGTATACATCTCATAACATAAAGCCTCACTGGAAATAACTAGGTTCAAATCAACAGTTAAATTCCAAACATCTCGTAAAAATTCCAGTTTCAATGAAAGTTGTTTAAAATATTTATTCAACATTTTCATTAGAGGCTCATTGTAAAAGAAAAGTGAAAATAGTAATTTCATAAAAACAAGCCCCTCGGGCAAAGTAACACTTATATATATTCAGCCTCTCGGGCAAGCCTCTCAGTCACTCGTGACTCAACTCTCATCAACCAGCGCTCACACTCAGCACTCACGCTCAATAGGTACCTTATAATAACCGCTGCGGCGTGCAGCCCGATCCATAAATATATAGTCGACTGCGCTCACTGGGGGTGTGTAGACTCCGGAGGGGCTCCTACAACCCAAGCACTATATCGCTGCGGCGTGCAGCCCGATCCATATATATATATATATATATATTATATTATATTAAAAGCACGAAGGCCTTTAGCGAAATATCGTTCGCCTTTTTTACCCATTAAAAATAGATTCCACAGTGGATAAATTAGTAATTTAATTATTAGTTTAAAATCAATTAAATTATTAATTATTAATTCTTTCCTTATTTAAACTATGTAGAAAATCTAAATATTTTAGGAATTCAAAATCAACTATGATTTTCTTTACATAAATTCTTTCCTTATTTGAATTATGTAATATAAGTTTTATTCCTTCCATATTATTTGACTTTATAGTATAAAAAGACTTGCTAATTTGTAGTACTTTGCCAACGATATGTGATTGCTCCTTAGTAGGTGAGTTCTTTATACTTTTTCCGATCGTTCTATAGAATATTGCTGTTATCTTTGAAGTTTTTTCTTGTTTTAGTTTGTTTTTGCTTTTGTTTTAAATGTTTTATATGGGTTTTGGAAGAATTATTTTTCATTAATGTCTTTTTCTTTTCTTATTGACCATCCAATTCAACTTTTTTAGGAGTAAAAGAATATGCTGATTTTGGATTAAAAGATGTTACACATTTAAAGCCTAATGTAGTTCAATATGAATTTCTGTGACTAATATGCAGGTTTTCTTTCTTAGTCAGAAGATTCTAAAATTTTTGAGGCTACCTTCTTTACATCCAATTTAATTTTCGTTTAGTAATAAAAAATTATGCCTTTTGAGATTTTGGGTTAAAACTTAAAAGAGAATTTCTCACGTTTGACAAAAAAAAATCCAAACACCATTGTAATTCCTTCTACGCTACAGTCAAATATTGCATACTTAAGATGGCTAATATTAAGAATTTTGATCAGTCTATTCATATATATACTATATTAAAAGCACGAAACCCCTTAACGAAATATTGTTCGCTTTTTTACCCTTTAAAAACTAATTTCATATTGGATAAAATTGTAATTTAGTTGTTTTCCTATATTTAGGACTTCTAAATCAAATAAAATTTTAGTTATTAAATTTTTCCTTTTTTGAACTAGGTAAAATATCCTAATATATAGAACTTTAAATGAATAATATTATTTTTCCATATTTAGATTTTGTAGAAGTTGTAAAAGTATGTATAACAACAAATATATTACCAAGCACACTATTATGATGGATAGTGGTACAAAGTTTATGCGTAGAACAGTGACTAACACTTTAAAAATTTATCCCATTTTCAAAATCAACTAAAAATTTGTTATCCTTTGAATCATGTAAGAAATTTTAAATAAATTAGTATTTTAATTATCTAATATAAATTATTTATTTATTTAGAGAAGATGTAACATAATTGTAATCTATTAATTTTAGACGTAATATAATGGTTAATACTTTAGAGAGTTATCCCTTTTTGAAATTCATTGTAATATTATTTATCAAATCATTCATTAATTAACTATGTAAGAAGTCTTAATATAGGACTTTAAAATCATTTAATATTTTAATTATCTAATATAACTTATTTATTTATTTGGATAATATAACATTACTGTAATTCTTTGCATGTGTGTGTCTATATATATATGGACCATAATACACTTGCATATCAAATTTGTGCTACTTTTTAACCCAAAAATTATTTTTATATAGTATTTAAATATAAAATTCAATAATTAAAATAAATAACAAAATTTTAAAATATAAAAGATATAAAAGAGGTAAGGAAAACGAGAGTTCATAAAAGTAGTTGACCAGAGTCAACAACACTAATTATTCTACATATAAAGGTTCAAAAGTAAAATATGATCATATTAGTCTTTTAATCCTTTGGAACATAGAATTCATAGTATATACTTATACTATGAATTATTTTCATTTATATTGAGAATAAATAATTAAGTATCTAAATTATATAACTAACTAGCTAAAGAATCCTATTAAATTCTTTTTCAAATTTATCATAAAATAAAAATACATTTTCAAGTTTACAAACTCTTTATTAGGGTACATAAATTTATTTTTATAGAAAGAGCACTGACAGTGAAAGAAATAAAAAAATCAATATAATATAGTATGAGGGTCAGATTGATAAAATGCAAATTTGAAGTAATAAATATGAAATAGTAAAAGATAAGTTGTATTCTATTTGAGTTGTCATAATTAAATTAACTTTTTCTTTGTTTGCATTTATTCCAGCAAATGACCGGTCCATTTTTTTATATATTAATTATTTGTTGTAAATTGTTAACAAAACGTTAGTCAATTTTAGATTTTGTATTGTCATGTATCAAATTAATATTTAAGAGCTATAAGCTAAACTTCTCATTTCCAAAACTCTAAAGATTAAAGATTAAATTTCTTGATATATATTATTCATCAAATCATTAAATAATAGTTTGAAAAATATATTTATATCATTCATTTTCAGTACAATTTTCTTAAAGATTCTCATAAAGTCCTCAAAATCACAATAAGGCATTTGCAGAATTTAATGGGATATGATTACTTCCTTTATTGAGCTATAGCTGGATAGGGTCAACATTCATTATTTTTAGAAACTTATAATTTTTTTTAACTTTTATAACTCAAACACATTATTTGATACTCCCTCCGGTCCAATTTAATTAATTTTTTGGCCTTTTTAGTAGTCCATAATATATAATTTTTTCAGGTATCAAGAAGGAATTAATTTTTTTTTGAAAATTGCCTTTGTAGTACTTGTTGTATTTGAACAAATTAAGATTAATATGGTCTTAAGATTAATATGGTCAATTTTATTGTTAATTAATGTTCAAAGGTGAATTTTTTAATATCAAACGATAAAAAAATCAATTAAAGTGGACCAACAGGAGTAATATCTATGTGATTTTTTAAACTTATGTACTTATCAAAAGCTCGTACCCTAACCTTAGCGAAATGTTGTCCGCTTTTTTTTACCCTTTAAAATAGAGTTTACACTCGACAAAATCATCATTTAAATTTTCTTCTAATATTTAGGAGTTTTAAATCAACTAAAACTTTGAAGTGCTATATAAGAAATCCTAATACGTAGGATATTAAAATTAATTAAATCTTTACCTTATATAAATTAAAATATTCACTTATTCTTTTATTTATGTAGACCAAGCAAGGGAAGTTTAGCATCAAGACAATGTATATAGCAGCAAGGTCTCAATTTCAGAAAGTTACATGGAAGAATCTTGTGCTGGGAGATGTTACTATACCAAGGCATCTATTTATTCTGTGGCTAGCTCTCAACCAAAGGTTAGCAACAGTGGATAGACTGGCAAAATGGAAGATTGATGTGCCGAAGGAATGTGTGTTATGCACTAGCCAGAAAGAAGAGACGCTGGATCACCTTTTCTTTGAATGTGCTTATGCTAGATCAATATGGGCTGCATTAGTAGGCTGGTTGAAAGAACAACACAATGTTGGAAGCTGGGAACAGGAATTAAAATGGTTGATCAAGAGGACAAACAACAGCAGACCACGAGCTCAAGTTCTCACATTTCTATTTGCAGCAACAGTTTATTACACATGGATGGAGAGGAACAAAAGAAGATTTCAGAACCAGTGTATTACATATGCAAAAAGAGTTCGAGAAATAGCCTTGCAACTGCATATCAAAGGCCAGAACATGAGCAAATGGAAGTCAATGTTAGAACAGTTAAATAGATATTCTAGCGGAAACAATGTATAAATCACGAAGAGATTAGGAAAAGTACATAACTGTGGTTATGAGAATAGAAAGACCGTAAAGGATCTAGCTCTAGAGGCCCATGGGCTAGCGGATGTAAATATTTCCATTAATTAAATATAAATTANATATATATATCGCTGCAGCGTGCAGCTCGATCCATAATTATATAATCCTCACCAACAGGCCCTCGGCCTCTCTCAATCATCAACCTCACAAGCCACTCGGCATTTCAGTGAAAAATCGGGGAACTCAGCTCGAACAACTTTCATATATTTAAAAACAGAGTAATGAAATTGAATCAATAATAAACAGGTAAAAATCATGACTGAGGATATGCTTTCGAATCAAAACAGTGTGAGGATAGTAGTAAAATACCCCTGAGGGTCCAAACAGTACGACACAAGGCCCCAAACATGGCATGCAGCCCAAGTTAATAAAGTCATTTCTAAAACACATAGATATCATATAGAGTTTATCAAAACATGCAACTTTACAGTTGCCACGAGACGGACCAAGTCACAATCCATACTGGTGCACGCCCACACGCCTGTCACCTAGCATGTGCGTCACCTCATTTATCAAAAATAGTACAAAATTTCGATGTTTCATACCCTCAGGACTAGATTTACAATCATTACTTACCTCGAACCGGACGAAGATCTACTCCGATATGCTCTTGCCACTAGACTAGACCTCAAATCGCCCCGAATCTATCAAAAATCAGAATCATATCATCAATACATGCCAAATGAACAAAACCCATACGAAAATTATCAAATTAGACCCAAAATCCCGAATTTGCTCAAACCCGGCCCCCCGAGCCCACGTCTCGGAATCCAACAAAAATCGCAAAACTAGAAACTCCTTTCATTCCCGAGTATACACACAAAATCATCAAAATAGAACCTTAAATGACCCCTCAAATCCCCAATTTAAACTCTCCAATTTCAAACCCTAATCTCCCAATTTCTTCTTAAATTTTCCCACTAATATCATGATTAAGCAAGGGAATAATTGCCATAAACACAAGATACAAGGTCCAAGTAGCTTATCTCACTGAAAACACTTGATTCCCCCTTGAAATCACTGCATGGAGCTCCAAAATCGACCAGAAATGGTGGACAAATGGCCAAAATTTGCGAAGGAAAGCTTATATACTTTCTGCCCCAGGGATTCCGCTTCTGCGGATTTCACTTAACATCACAGCCCTCGCATCTGCGGTCGCCTTACCACTCATGCGGCATCGCAGATGCGGTTTACCAAGTTGCACCTGCGTTCCTCCTTGCACCTGCACCTATTTTATGCTCCTGCGGAGCTCGCACCTACGGTCCCCATCCGCAGGTGCGGATATGACAGAAGCAGCAACACTAGCTACAATTTCTCAAGTTCAAACTTTCCGAGAACTACCGAAATCATCTGATCCCCTGGAACCTCAACCAAACAAACGAACAAGTCACATATCAATATTCAAACTTATTCCAACCTTTGGAAAACTCAAAATAACATCAAAACATCAAATCACCCTCGGATTCAAGCCTAAGGATTTCCAAACTTCCGAATTCCGCAAACGACGCCAAAACCTATCAAACCTCATGCGAATGACCTGAAATTTTGCACATGTCACAAATGACACAACAGACCTACTCCAATTCCCGGAATCCTATTCTGACCTCGATATTTCCACTACGGACCAAAAAACGCCAAATTTCCAATTTTGCCAATTCAAGCCTAAATCTACCACGAACCTCCAAATTACATTCCGGATGGGCTTCTAAGTCCAAAATTACCCAACGGAGCTAACCAAATCATAATAAATCTAAATCCGAGATCGAATACTAACAAGTCAAGACTGAGTCAAACCTTTCAAATTTAAAGCTTCAAGATGAGAATCATCTTTCCATATCTTTTTCGATTAACCTGAAAACCAAAATTGACGGTTCATGTAAGTTGTAATACATCATACGGGGCAAGTCATGCCCGAGGCCTGGCGAGCGAAGTGCAAATGCTCAAAATGACCGATCAGGTCGTTATAGTTCTTCCGTATTTCAGGAACATGACAAACGTTGTTCAGAGTCACCACCTTGCCAGAGGTCATCTTAAGGAGTATCTTTCCATAACCTTCAATTTTGGCCATTGCAGAATTTCCCATAAAAATGGTCTGGTCTCGTCGGGTCCGACGGGAGCATATGAAACAAATACTTCTCTAACAGCACAAATATGGCTGGTGGCACTAGAATCAATCTACCATTTCTTAGGATTTCTCACTAAGTTTCATTCAGATAACAGAGTGCACAAGTCATCAATATTATCATTTGTTTGAATCATATTTTCTTGACCCTTCTTCTCTTTCTTTGGAGCACGACATTCTGCAGCTTTGTATCCAACCTTTCCATAGTTGTGGTGGTTTCCCTTGAATTTCTTCCTGTTGGGATAGTTGTTTGGTCCAGAAGACTTCTTCTGCTTCTTCAGATTAGTTGGAGCAGTTTCAACAATATTTGCTTCTATAATTGTTGAGTTCCCACGTGTCTTCTTTTCTGCGGCTTTATTGTCCTCTTCGATCCTCAATCGAATGATGAGATCTTCGAGTTTCATCTCCTTGCACCTATTTTTCAAGTAGTTCTTAAAATCCCTCCATAAAGGAGGCAACTTCTCAATCATTGCTGCAACTTGAAATGCTTCATTAATGTCCAAACCTTCAACAAAAAATTCATAATTAGTAACAGAATTAATACTTTCAACAAAAGCATTAATTTGGATTATACCTTCAGCAAGGAGATCATGAATGATGACTTGTAGCTCTTCAACTTGGGTAATGACAAGCTTGCTGTCTACCATCTTATAGTCTAAAAACTTGACTGCAACGGACTTTTTCAAACCGGCATCCTCAGTTTTATACTTATTTTCTGATGCCTCCAATAATTCTTTCAAAGTTTCCACATTACTATAGACATTGTAAAGATCATCCTCTAGTCCGCTAAGATTGTAATTTTTGCATAAGAAATCTAAGTGCTTCCATGCCTCAGTCACAATAAAATGTCCATTCTCAGGAGTTGATTCCGGCAGAACTGGAACGTCTTCTTTGATGAACTTCTGTAGACTCAAAGTAGTCAAATAGAAGAACATCTTTTATTGCCACCATTTGAAGTCAATCCCGAAAAAAATTTCGGGCTTTTTCACCGGAGCCGGTGGTAGCACAGAACGACTGGAAGAAGCAACATTGCTCGTAGAGCCAACCATGGGAGTTCCTATTTATGTCATTACTGTTAATCACAAAACGAAAACAAAATTAATTAAATAGTGAAGTATTTAAAATCTTCAAACCGAATAACTTTGACAGAAACAGATTAAATACAATGGTGAAGATTTTATTTCTTCAAATTGAATACAAAAGGAGTAGAAAATCCAAATATTTTAGTCTCCAAACTAAGAGTACAAATCACTAGGATTTAGTCTCCCACAAATAGAATATAAGATGAATACAGAAAAAATAATTGAAGTTCTTTAAGCTCTTAGTGTAACGACCCGGCTGGTTATTTTTAGAATTTACGTCCTGATCCCTTATTAACTGTTTTCCCCGAGTTTTTTTCTGCTATTCTGATTCACCGGGATGTTTGGTTTTGAGTTTCGGAGTGTTTTGGGATACTTAGTCCCTAAATGAGAGCTTAAGCTTTAAAATTTGGACCGTAGTCGGAGCAGTATGAAGATGGCCTCAGAATGGAATTCCGGAAGTTGAAGTAGCTCCGCAATGTTGAATGTGACGTGCTTGAAAAATTTGAGGTCATTCAGACGAGGTTTGATAGAATTTTTTATCGAAAGCGTAATTTGAGAGTTTTTGGAGTTCTTAGGCTTGAATCCGATGTTAAATTGGTATTTTGATGTTGTCTTGAGCATTCCGAAGATTGGAACAAGTTTGAATGATATTTTAGGATTGGTTGGCATGTTTGGTTGAGGTCCTGGGGGCCTCGGGTGTGTTTTGGATGCTCAACGGGTCATTTTTGGACTTGGGAAGATTGCAGATTTTATGTTGTTATGTTGTAGAGAAAATGTTCTTCGCGTTCGCGTAGAGCATCTTGGTGAAATAGTTGAATTGTGCTTCGCGTCCGCGATGATGTCCCGCGTTCGTGAAGGTATGGACGCTTTGGTCTTCGCATTTCCGGCATGGTCCTCGCGTTCGCGAATGGTCCACTAGAGTAAGCTACACGTTTGTAAGTGGACACTCATGTTCGCGAAGAGGAAGATTGGCTAGTGGATTTTTTTTGTGCATCGCATTCGCGACCGTTGTCTCGCGTTCGCGAAGAAGAACGCGTCTGGGCAGAACTTAAATTTCAAAATCGAGGGTTTAAGCCATAATTCATATTTTGGACGGAGCTCGGGAAATTGCGATCTTAGAAGAGATTTTCACCTGGGCGATTTGGGTAAGTAATTCCTACTCGGTTTAGACTAATTTCCATGAATCTACACTTAAATCCATCCTTTAATTTCGATTTTATGGTGAAAATTGGGGGAAAGTTCTTAGTCCTAAACTTCGAATTTTGATTGGGCATTTGACATTGGATTTGGATAATTTCAGTATGATTAAACTCGTGAGAGTATGAGGATTCTGAAAATGTAAATTTTACCCGATTCCGAGACGTGGGCCCGAAGGGCATTTTGGCCATTTTACCTAATTTCGCGTATTAGGTTAGAATTTATTTGTGGAATCAGTTACTTGAAGTTATATTTACATTATGCAATTGAATTGAATAGATTTGAGCCATTTGGAGTCGAGTACTCGTGGCAAGAACGTGGTCTCTGGTTGATTTTGAGTCGGTTCGAGGTAAATGCCTTGCCTAACCTTATGTGGGGGAAACTCCCCTTAAGATTTGGCATTGTTAATGTCACACCTCCTTTTTACACACCCGAGGGTAATATAAGGGAGTTTTTTCAATTAAAGTGACATTATTCGAGATAGGATGATTTTATTTTAGAGGCAAACTAAAGGTACTCTTATTTTAAACTAATTTAAAACTAATTATCACAACAACGCCACGGGAGTCGTACCCATAGTTGTAATAATTTTAAATGCGCGCTTAAAACAAACTACGATTGCCTTTTCAAACCAGNGTGCGAATGGGCCCAAAATAACAGGCCCAATTTAGAAGCTTGCTTGTGAGCAGCAGTGAGTCCACATGAACTCTGCATTATTGAATAACATTATTGGGCCTCAAACTCGATCAAATTTTCGAACCCAATAGGCAGACTCCTATCCCAAGTGAAGTCATAGTCCTAAACACAATTACAACCATTGAAATTATTTTTTTTATTGGAACATGGCATGGAATCTATGGACTGAACATATAGGCCATTCCAAAATTGAAGGATTTTTAGGCCTCAACTACTCCCCATGAAGCAAAAGACTGAAACAATAACCAAGGAGCAATGACAGAGCAATCTACTGCTAAACCTCACATGGGTCACCCACTTAAATCCAAAGGATTCAAATGAAATTCATAAAAAAGAAATACATGTTTCCAGAAGAACATATGAATAAATTGAGTCAATGAAGCTCACATGCTCAGAACCCATAAATGAGAAGCAAAAAGCACATATTGTTAAAGTATAACAATGTTACACAAATGATAAGGCAAGAACATGTCCAAGAATGTAGATTTAATTAATGGAATTGAATATGACATTAGCTGCATGAGAGAAGTTATCCAAGCATACACTTTAATATGAGATTTTCATAAGCCTCAACAATACTCGATAGAAAAAGTCTAGCTTTTGACATGGCGATAAGGTGAAATACCATTTCGGAATAATTTCTGCCCAGATTTGGTCTAACAGAGAAGAGAAATTCACACTTAACTATACTAATCAATGGATGTTCTATCAATCTGTGATCCAAACTAGCTAAATTATGGCGAATTAACTGTCGATTAAGCAGTAAACCAGCATATGAAATCGTCAAAAGAACTAACCGCCATAAACACAATTGCACATGTAGACACAGAAGAGATTGTGACCATTTTAACTCAGTACAGATCTACACATGCTTCCTTTCAAGCAACTTTCGTGAAAGAAATGTAATGACCAACAAAATTTCCTTAGGCGAGTAACAGTCAGATCATTTTACCCCCATTAATGTCATTTCAAGCATGAACCATGTAACCTTGGAAACTTAGTGATTATAGACATTAACCATCCAATTATCCATTAATGTTTAACAACTGAAGCATCTCGCTTAACACACTGATACTTTCAGAGCTTAGCAGAGAGGGAAGTTAGAACTAATATAACAATTATATGCTGAGTCTAGGAGCTTGGACAGAATCTAAGCTTAAACAAATAAGACTTTCATTCATGGTTTCAAATCAAAAGTAACAGAGACGTATGAACATACCTATGAGAGTAAAGCAACTGAAAAATAACAAACGAAATACTGGAACAGGAGAAGAAATTCAGCGACAGCAAAGATAACTCAACAAACCAGCCAGCCAAATCCAAATCGCAACCAATAATTCGGATAGAAATCCACAGCGCCAAAGTTCAGAATCCCAGCCACAANCGGATAGAAATCCACAGTGCCAAAGTTCAGAATCCCAGCCACAGACTTTAACTTGAAATTTAATCCAAAACTTCCTTTTTAGAACCAAAAATCAAGAGAAAGAAACCAAGCTAAAAAGAATATCTGTTTTCGGTCACTCTTTTTTTTGGTTTTTTCTCTTCAAAAATGAAATGAACTCGAACCAAAGATGAACTCAGAACATTTTTTTCGTATGTTTTTGCTAAAAAAAACTGAAGAAGAAGGTCTTGAAGAAAAATGACTACTAAAAAAAACCTAGAAATTTCGACTAAGCTTTTGAAGATCTTTTTCTGATTTTTCTCCCCTTTCTTAACACATAGAACTTACGTTATATAGAGCCTTCGAAAAACCTCAAAAAGTATGCTAAAAATTCCGAAAATCTTCAGGTTTTTGAACAATTTTGGGACAAATGAAGGGCGTGGATTGATTCACATCTATCCACGGCTCCCATTCATCCAACAATTGTCCTTTCGTACCCGAGATCGTACTATTTGGGAGAGAATATTCATAATTTCTGACAAATCCATTGGAAAATAGAGGTGACGTGGAGGGGAAGGGACCATTTGGGTGAACTTGGGCGAAACTCAAGCGAGTTGAGGTGAGTTTGAAGGATGCGGAAGATGAAGGAATAGTAGGGCACCGTTTTCTGTTATCCTCTAGGGTTCATGATTTTGGGGAAAATTTTATCAGGTGGTTTATATATTAGGGCGACGGGCGGGTCGGTTATTTGTTGGGTTTGGATCTGGTTCTAGGCTGGGGCGGTGTGACAATGGGCTGGGGGGAATTAACTTGTATAGGGGGGAGATTTTGGGCTGGATTGGGGTGCATGAGGCTGGCCCAATTTTGAAAAAGAAAGATTCTTCTTCAATTTTCTTTTATTTTCTAAATTCCTTTTTTTTTAAATTAAAAACCTAATAATTAAAAATCCCAAATTATCTAAAAATGTGAAATTAAACTAATTAACTAATTACAAAAATTATAAACATCACTCAATTCTAAATTAAAGGAGAAAAATCATTAAACTAAAATTAAAAGTCAAAAATGTAAAAATGAGCTATTTTTGTGATTTTCAAATTTTTATAAAGCAAATAATTACTGATTAATTCTAAAAATGTAAAAATAAATCCTAAATGCAATGCGCGATATTTTTTGGTATTTTTCATGATTTAAATAAAAAATTAAACATGCAGAAAAAATGCAAACAATTAATAAAAATCTACAAAAATTCCTAAAAATGGCAATTAATTAAGAAAAATCTATTTTCTTGGATTTTATAGGAGTATTTCGTAGGGAAAAAATCACGTGCTCACAGCTGTCTCTCTTTGTTCGGAGACACAAAGGGTTTTCGGGTAAAGATAAACTGAGCGATTATGAGGGATTTTTGCCCTTTGAAACTCCATGAGAAGCATTTTTTGAAAAGAGCCCGACCGAACCTTGCTTTATAGGTTGCCTACATATCCTTAGCTACAAAGGAATCAGGTCAGTGTAGTTCTGGAAGTTTTGGTAGATGGGACTACTAAAAAGCTGTGATTTCACTATTGCTGTTGTTGCTACTGCTTGCTAAACTCCTTATTACACCAAAATGGATGATAAGAAACTAAACTAGCTAATCATATCAACTACGAGTTACAATATTCCTATCTATAAATCTACTGAAGCTCGATCTTGAGTCTTGACTGGTTTTTCCTGCAGACTCCGATCTGAATCTTGGTGCTCATTAGTTGCAAACGCTGGTTCATTTTTCAGCTTTTGGATCAAGGTGGGACATGCGAAGTTTTTGACTTCAATCATATCTTGAGCAGTCCGCATCTTTCTCTGCTTTTGCACTTTGAGTTCACTTCTTTTTATTCTTTTTTTCTTCATTTCTTTATTCTGGATTGAGACTCATTCTTTTGGTCATCTCCAACCTTGTACCTCACGATGAAAACCTATTCAGGCACCAAATCAAACAAACAAACGAAATTTTTCTGCCCTTGTTTTCACTAGAAAAATTTCGTGAGTTATTGTAATAAAATCTAAACTATTTCTTTATTTGAAAGCGATAAAATAAGGATTGTGTATCCTTGGGAAAGAGATTAGGGAGTGGAGCCCTATATCTATACTAAAACTCAACTAGGGAGTGGAGACCCTATGTTGGAAAGGCGACTAGGGAGTAAAGACCCTATGTCTAAAATAATCTCAACTATGGAGTGGAGACCTTATGTTGGCAAAAGGCGACTAGGGAGTGGAGACCCTATGTCTAAAATAATCTCAACTAGGGAGTGGAGACCTATGTTGTCAAAAGGCGACTAGGGAGTGGAGACCCTATGTCTAAAAATAAACTCAACTAGGGAGTGGAGACCCTATGTCTAAAAATAAACTCAACTAGGGAGTGGAGATCCTATGTCTAAAATAATCTCAACTAGGGAGTGGAGACTCTATGTTAGCAAAAAGGCGACTAGGGAGTGGAGACCCTATGTCTAAAATAATCTCAACTAGGGAGTGACGACCCTATGTTGGCAAACGGCGACTAGGGAGTGGAGACCCTATGTCTAAAAATAAACTCAACTAGGTAGTGGAGACCCTATGTTGGCAAAAGGCGACTAGGGGGTGGAGACCCTATGTCTAAAAATAAACTCAACTAGGTAGTGGAGACCCTATGTTGGCAAAAGGCGACTAGGGGGTGGAGACCCTATGTCTAAAAATAAACTCAACTATGGAGTGGAGACCCTATGTTCGCAAAAGGCGACTAGGGAATGAAGACCCTATGTCTAAAATAATCTCAACTAGGGAGTGGAGACCCTATGTCTAAAAATAAACTCAACTATGGAGTGGAGACCCTATGTTCGCAAAAGGCGACTAGGGAATGAAGACCCTATGTCTAAAATAATCTCAACTAGGGAGTGGAGACCCTATGTTGGCAACAAGCGACTAGGGAGTGGAGTCCCTATGTCTAAAATAATCTCAACTAGGGAGTGGAGACCGTATATTGGAAAAGGCATAAAAAATTGAGATTGGGGTCCTAAGCCACCATTTCTTTTGGATTTTCTTCTTATCTATTTTTCATTTTGTTTTCTTCTCTATTTTTTTTTATTTCATGGAATGAGTAAATGTGGGAAAAAAATTTGGAGGGGACTTCCCTTTTTATGGATTGTTGCTGCAAAGCTGTTTCTAGCCTTTGCACTTTTTCTTCTTTTTAGTTGCAACTGCTTCTTGCAAGGTTGCTTTGGGTTGCACCTGTTTTATGCTTTTCAAACAAAGAACAATTGTTAGTTTGAAACGGTGGTTGGTTTTGTGGCCTTGATTGTTTTGACCACTTGATCTCGGCCCCACTCTTTTGATGAGAACCTCTGCTGTTTGCTGGATTTCTGAAGATTGATCTTTCTTCTGAAACCGAGGAACTCAACTTTCCAAAATTTCACATGACGGTTCACCCATGTGGGATTTTGGCCTTTTCATCTTATTCTGCCTCTAGGGGCGTTTAACTTTGGATTTCTTTCATTTTCGATAGTTTTGACTTCGGAGCATCGGCCATCATGGCCAGTCGGGATCGACCTGATGCACACGCTGAGGCTGGGTGCTTTCCTTTGGATTTGGCTTTTATTAAGCATAACCCTGTAAAACCAATCTTGCCACCTTTTCT